GCGCTCGCCATCCCGTGAAGAGCGCGCGCCAGCTGTCGAATTGACACCGCGTGAGAGCATTAAACCGAGCCAGACTTCCGAACGCCGACATTCCGGCGGGAAGGGTAAGCGACCAGAGTCCCGCGACGCCGAACGCCGACATTCCGGCGGAAACGGCAAGGGCAAGAGTAAGGACTATTCCCGTGATGCCGGTCCTCGCCCCAGCGCCATGGACTCTGCGTTCGAACGGCCAGAGTACGGCGTCAGCTCAGCCTTCGTCTACTGCTTGTGGATGATTTGGTCCGGATTTTTCAAGTTCAGCGAAGAGGCCTTAAACCGGATCTATGAGAGCGAGCTCTACGATAAGATTTCCCGCGAGTTGAGCTGGATCCTCCGACATTCCGGATGGACCCATGCCGATCAGTCGCTTTCAATTTTTGAGCTGATGGCCGGGGCTCGTTTTAGGAAGTTGCTCAGCGTTTGGGCTCACACCTGCCATGCCAAGGAAGACTCTGCCTTCCCGGCTGTGCAAAAGGCTCAGATTCAGCCATGGTGTGAAGCATCTGCCGAGCGCATTAACCTGCTGCTACCGCTTGCCATCACTATTATGTATAATCAGAAAGGCAGGTACCAGGTTGGCATTCTGAGCACTTCCGATCATCAGATGGGTGAGAAGTTTGTTAGTAACCCTTCTCAGTGGATCCACCCAGCCGGTATGACGGCTGAGGATCGCAAGGAGCTGGCCCAATTATATAAGCAGTACAGGGCAGCTCATGTTTTTGCGCAAGCCGTTTCCAGCCATTCGGGAGGGGCCGCAACTCCATTAACCGGCCTTAAGATCCCGAAGTGCCAGCTCTCCGATATGCCGGACACGCTGGTTCACATGACGGAGTATCGCCACGTCCGCTCGATTAAGCAGTACGGTCTCCTTCCCGGAGGCGTCAGTACAGCCGGCAATAAGCAGCGTAACATGAACCACTTCCTGCCGATCGACGGACTTTTGGTCTCCTATGAACATAACATGCGTCGTCTTAAGAAGCGCTCGTTGTCGGAAACGACCGAGGAAGAGGGAGATGACCTGATTGATCTAGACGATGATGACGACATGGAGGTCGATGCCGACATTCCGGCAGACGACGATGATGAAGTTCAGGTCATAAGTAATTTAGACGCAGCCATGGTGGACGACCTCGCGGAAGCATGCCAGAAAGGCACCTGGGTCAAGAAAGGCACTGTGAAGAAGGAAGAGTCCGATATGCCGGACGATCCTTCAGCAGCAGCCTCATCATCTGCAGCAGTCAAGAAAGAAGAGAAGCAGAGCACAAGGGTCTGGTCCTCCCGTGCACGGTCACGAACCCCGTCTCGTACTGTCCTTAAGAAGGCTGACAATGCACCGGGAGCCGCCCGCACTCCGTCCGAGGGTCGCAGGGTTTCGTTTTCCGATATTCCGGAAACGAAGTACATTGAAGCAACATCCAAGAAGCGTGCGACATCGAGGGCGCGGGAGGTCATCAGCGATGCAAGGAAAGCACAGAAAGCACCGACTAAATTCCATCATCGCCCAGATGAGATGACCTGTTTGACCTGTGCAAATGCTGAAGTACTCTTCTTCTGCAGAGCATGTCGACATGGAACATGCCTTGACTGCTACCACAATGCCAGTAACCATTGTTCCTGCACGGGCATTTATCTCTGTTCGACCGTCCCAGACGCCGATATGCCGGCACCGCTGGGTGAGCACGAGCGCGAAGAGATCACTGCAGAAATTGATTTCACGATTCCCTTCGCAGCCGAGTCCGAGGGTTGGCATCCTGACGACCGTCATGTCGGTCGATTGCACCGTTTGCAAGAAATCAAAGATCTTGTTCTCGGTGGCGGCTCAACAGGTTATGCCGCGATGGATCGAATTGTACTCGAAGAAGTCAGCAAATACCATTACACGAACCATCCAACCTACAGGAGCCGTTCCATTCCCTCGATCGCTCAACATTGGGACGAACAGTCTGATGTGGCACCATACCCAATCATTCGGCCAAGTTGCTATTACGACTCCAATCGCCGATATACCGGCGCGGAGATGCGACAGATTGTCGAGCTAAGCCGTTCGTACATGCAGGGATATCGCGCGAATCAGGGAGTATTTGACCTCGATGAAGCCCGGCTTCTCCGGTCCACTGAGCACGTCAGTGTCCTGCTTCTCAACTTCGGCGATATCAATCGTACACCTCATTTCAACGGCAGGCAGCCGCTATCCAGGGATCTCGCCGAGACCGATCAATACGCTGTGCTTCCTCATTACCTTGTCAGGAACACAGCCCATATCACAATCCTTCTTGAAGCCAACGGCATCGAGCGTCATCGAGAGCTCTTTAACCAATACAAATGCCTGTGCGTGTTGGCTACATCGGATGGCGAATCTCCCGCTATCGCAGCCGTATGCTCCAGTGATCCACTTGGCACTTCAAGACTGGAGCTTATCCGTAGGATTGAACTTGAAGGCGAACGGTTAGCCTGGGTAGCCCATGCCGCGACATTCCGCGTGATCTGGGGAAAGGTTGAAGAAGAGACAGATGGAGGCATCACCGATGACCGTGGCGTCCGAAAGAACCTCCGTGTTGCCCTTGAAGAAGGCGCTGATCCAGCAAATAACATGGAGGCATCAGTCTGCCCTGACACCTTAGCTGTAGCACAAGCATCCACCACATACATTGAATCTTCACCAGTGGATGCAGAGGCATTGTTCCGCGAGTGTCCGACATTCCAGACCGGGAGCTTGAATGATTGCAAGCGCGTGCACATGCCTGAACTTCGAGTTTGCGCTTTCCACATCAATGCACATGCCTTTCAGTCAGGTATTACGGCCGGTAAGAACGCCATCATGAAGATTTTGATCACGGCCGTGGCAGACCAGGTGGACGTCATCGCGTGCGATGCTAACCAGTTCACGAACCGCAACTTCCGGGGCGATCGACATGCCGATCCAGGAACCGGAGCAGTCCTAACCATCCTTGACCAGATTCTTGTTTCTGCGAACAAGAAGCGCGAGCCGAGTAAGCGCATCACCTATAACTGGGAGGTCTCAACCCTCGCCAGTGAGCAGCTCGCTGCTTTGGAAGGTCTGGATGCCGATTGCGACTGCATGTTGCAGATCGTCTTAAATTACGGCAAGGACATGCATACGTTGCGGTCAAGGACATCCGATATTCCGGATGATCGTGGACGTGTCGGATATGAGGAGCCTCCACGCCAGAAAGAGACTACCATTAAGGTCAACGAATTCCTCAAGCACCTGAACCGTCTTGATCTGTGTCTGAAGAGCAGCGATTTGGGATACCACCATCCATTTCAGTGCAATTTTTCGCTTGCCAGCCGACGCAAGATCAGAGTTCGTGGCCAGCAATCCGCCGAGAAGCGTGGCGAGAAGAATGCCGAGCGGCTTGAACGTTTGAAGGAACAATCTCGGCAGAAGAAACAAGCTCGCCAAGCTGGCTGGCACCAGCCCTGGTCCTCGGGAGCGTCAAGCTCATGGTGTACACCGGTTCCTCTTCATCATCTTGGAACCAGGGGTGCCGAGGCTACAGGGACTGGTAGGTAGTCTCTGCTCTAAGAAGCCGATATACCGGCTAGAGCATTGCCGAAGCAGTAGTCTGGAAAAGCCGATATTCCGGCAGACTACAGGTAAATGCCACAAAGCTAAATGCAGGTAAAATGACCCAGATAATTTTTGAACTTAAGGCCTTATAGATTAGACTTCAATTTGATGATTCGACTTGAGAAAGAAGATTTCCGACATTCCGGAACGTTCGATGCAGCAAGTATGCCTTTCGTAGATTTGTAAAGATTATCTGACGCAACCTAGATGAGCCAGAATGGCATCTACGGTCGAGTTCTGCGAAGTCAGAACTTTTCGAATTCATTTGCAACGTTTTGCGAACCTTTTGTACTTTTGAGATCGTAAGCTTCGACGCGAAGAAAATTTGTGTCTGTTTTGTGTTTAGTAGGGTCCTAGGTCCCCCTGGGCGTGTCTACGCTATACGTGTGTAGCACCTGTTCTTGTACATATATCTATTCGTAGCTCTTCAGTCCGCTTTCGACATAATTCATTTGGCTCAAGACTCAGCAGCCCACTGCATTCACTGCCATAGAAAAGGTGTGCTTCGCCGCAGCTCACACACCGACCGCTTGTGTTTGACTGCTTGGTGTTTCGATCAGGTCCAGTTATTCCAACTGCCACTTCTGGGGGAACTGGTATACCCCTCACCCCCCCTCTAAAATCAATTCTCTCCTGGAGAACGTCTTCGTGAGCCTCTCATGATTTCAGGATAGTTGAAACCCTCTTGAACATTCAGAAAGAGTGAATATGAAATTCTAATCACGAAAGGTGTTCCCTGAGGGGATACATACCTAGAGTTTGTTTTGTGAAGCACGTCAATTCTCTCCTGGGGAGCGTCTTCGTGAGCCTCTTATGGTTTCAGGATAGTTCAAATCCTATGATGTTCCGATTCAATGCTCACCGATGATCTGAGCCATATGGGGCAAATTTGTTTTCCTAAGAATCTTTTTGAACATTTCGAGAGCACATGTTTGAACATTTAGAGTACATATATTTACGAAAGGTCGCCTCCGAGGGGATAAATCACCATGTCGAACATTGCATTTTTGTTCCTGCCTCTCGCGTTCTCTTCTCTTCCCGCTGTCCTACCTTTCGTGTCTCCCTCCTCTCAAGTTAGAATGGAAGGCAATGGAGCAATCTATGAACCTGAAACTCAATAAGCACGCTGTTTGGTACATGTGCATTGTGGTTTGTAACAATTATATACACCAATATTGGCCGCACCACATCCGCCGTGCGGATTTGCACAGTAAATCAACCATGTTCAACCCATGAAGGAGCATGATATATCTCCAGCTGTTTTGTCCTCCTTCTTCAAGCCGATTCAAGCCTGTTGTTCTTTAGACTCTAGACTCTAGACATGTTGATTTCTTTAGATCATGTTGCTTTCCTTTGTCCATCCCTGAAGGAGCGAGTTTTCTTCTCCGGATATTTCCAAGCTTTGACGAATTGTGTCCAGCTCTCTCAATCAGCTCACGAAGAGCCACAAGAAAGGCGACATTTGGCGGAGTTGGCCGTCCATCATGTCAAGGTGTTCTTCCCTCAAAACGATCATTTGTTGAAGGAATGCCACAAAGCCCTGGGCTTGACCAGTGCTGAGCCAAATCTTGCTTAGTCATGCTCAATAGTCAAAGCGTCAAAATCACTGACGCTGGCGTTCTCAACGAAATCGTGGAACGGCCACCAATCTCGCCCGCATCCCAGCAGTGGTGGCTCATTTTGGGCGATGGCAGGAGGCCAGAGGAGCGCAACATGCCCTTCCGGTATCTTCCGGTGCCTCGTTTGACCTTAGCCATTCTCTTGAACAGAAAAATGCGACCAGTGGCCAGAGAAAAAGGGGACGACTTGCGATCAGGGTTTTGCAAACAATAAGTAACATGACATGAATACTGTGCGCAAGTAGAAGAAGGAATGTTTCATGATGCTGGCTTGGACTTTGCAATCGGATGCACTTCACCTACATAATATTTAGAGAGAGAGAGAGAAGCAGGCATTGCTTTGTGGCTTGTCTTGTGCATGTGTGTGTGAGGCAGAGGTCGATGAAGAGGTTAATGTGCTGGGCTCTGAGTGACACCATGCGCCATTCATGAGGATGGGCATTCACCAGGTGTCATGAGCCACTCACTCACGGATCCTGTGGTGGGTCAGAAGGTCCTCATCGGAGTGGAGTATCTAGCAACATTTACATCATAGCACCATTTTGCTGAATTGTGTGGTTTCACTGCATCCGGACTTTAATTGAGTACCTCAACCACATTGACTCATTGTGCATGCATGGCTGACCAGATGGTTTCGTGGCGTTTCAAAATTTTGCACGACTCGCCCATAGATTCTCCAAGGCCTCCCACAACAATGCGTGCCAGGACGCAGGAGGGATTTTTTTGAAACAGATTAGTATGTGTGGAACGGACCACTCTTCGTCTCCAAACGATCTTCGGGCTATACTCTTATACCATCAGTTATTTGTGGGCCATGTAAGGCTATGGGGATATCTCTGGCATTGATGGCTGGCTCCATGTCACGAATGTGAAGATTCATTGTCAGAAGTTCAGGTTACAATAGCAGCCATGTCAATCGCGCTCACTTATAGCCGCACCAAAAAACAAGAATATGTGTGTAATGGTATGGTATGGTATGGTATGGTATGGTTATGTATGTAATGTAAGGTAAGGTAAAGGTAAAGGTAAGGTAAGGTAAGGTAAGGTATGTATGTATGTATGCAATGTAATGTAGTGCAATGTAATGTAATGTAATGTAAAGTATGTATGTATGTATGTATTTTTTTCTTCTAGAGGTGCAGAGCTCTCAGGCCGTGGTGGCCATTGTCGGGTGGCATTTGCCTCAGTGGCCGCTTCTCAGAAGGTGCCTGTCTCGAGGTTGGCCATCAGAAGTAGTCCACTTCCATGCGTGGGTCATCTTGTGTGTCTTCTTCTTCCCCTTGCTCCTGTGGGCTGTGTGCCAAGTTGGAGCTAGCAGCCATGTATGTATGTATGTACGTATGTATGTATGTATGTATGCATGTATGTATGTATGTAATGTAGTGGCATAGAATGGAATGAACTGGAATGGAGTGGAGTGGAATGTATGTGTGTTTGTTTGTCCGTCTGTTTGTTGGTCATGTAATGTAATGCCGTGCCATGTATGTATGTCTGTCTGTCTGTCTGTGTGGATTTTTTCTTCTAAAGTTTATGCTCTGTTGGCCATGGTGGCCGGTCTTCTAGGGCAGGTGCCTCACTCTGAGTGCTTTGCCAAGGGCTCAAAAGAAGTCGACGTTGAGTGGGTGCTCGTCATCTTCATGTTCTTGGTCGTCATGAGCCAGAGGTGCGGACTCAACCAGAGAAGCCTTTGCCCCTTGTGGTGTGTCTGCTTGTGGGCCGGATTGCGTGGCCTGTGCCGTTGCTGCCATTTGGCTGGGTATCATGGAAAGCAGCCGGATCGGCTTTTGATCCCTGTTCCTGAAGGTCAAGGTCAGTTGGGAAATGCAATCTTCGTGGTGTAGGCCCTGGGAGGTCTTCGGTGCTGGACCGGTCGGGCTTCTTGTTGTCAAGTCTTGGTTTCTTGACCTGCTCATGCAAGGCCCTAGGTGCCTGTGGTGCCGTATGGCTTGTGTCACCAGAGGATTCCGGTGAACTGTGTTGTGATGCTTGTTCAATTTGTTTCCTAAAGATCTCCGTCAGCGGTGGTGAGCCACTGATTCCAGATCCCTTACAAGGCTTTTTGACTGCCCCTGTGAGGATGAGCCGCTGCTGACCATCCAAGTGCAAGGTGATGCCGCACTGGCCGCATGTGACTTTGTTTCCTTTTTGCCACAGTGCATGGCTGGTGTGGCCGGCATGGGTAGAGGTGTAGGGTTGGTCGAGGCACTGTCCCTGGACGAAGGCCTGGAAGACTTGTTCGTTGCTTCTCTTGTGGACGTTGGTACCATCCAGTCAAGGCCAGCAACGAGGTGCTGATGGTGCTCTTTGCTGGCTAGTCTTGCCGTGCGCTGTGCTTTGGCTTCTTGAAGCAGTGCACGTTCCAACTTCCACCAAGGATCTTGGAAGTCGATCTCTGTCTCTACCAGATAAGGGCCACTGGGTCGATGCCATCGATGAATGTCGTGGACTTGCCATCTCCATTCCAGCATATATGCAATGGTAGCTGCCATGGGGCCTTTCACCACATACCATGGATGTTGCTTCTGGCTGAGTTGGTAGTAGATCTCAGCCCATGCTTGTTCCAAGTGCTGGATTTGTTCAGGAGGCCAGTTGTGATATAGTGTGTGCATGGCCTTGATGTGGTGCAAGATGACTTGGTCTCCCGGGTCAATGTACTTGTTGCTGTGCAGGTCATAGGTGCTGTCGAGAAGTCCGCCTGCATGATGCCGCAAATGGGTTGCCAGTGCCTGTCTGAGGGCTATGCGGTAGCGTGGTGCAAGACCCTGTGCTTCAATGCCCCAGAGTGCCACTGGTTGGATTCCTCCTTTGTGGCGAAGCCGTACTTTCAAAGCCGGAATCTTCAATGTCCTTAATTTGAGCTTCCGTTGTTTGGCCTTCTGAAACCGCTGACGTAGAACTGGGATTCTCCTTCTTCTGGCAGCTTGACGATCCACCCCCAAGTCTCGCATCACAGTTGAGATCGGTGGTTCGTGCTCTTGGAGCAATCCTTTCAAAGCTTGTTCCGTGTCTCGATCTGTGGCTATAAAGGCTGTTTTCTTGGGATTGACTTTCAGACCCAGGCTTGTCAAACGGTTGTGAAGATCGCGATAGGCCTTCACAGCCTGCTGTGCCACCTGCATGGCTGAAGGTCCAGTGAGGTCGAAGCCCACATCATCTACCCAGCTGGACAAGTTGGCCTTAGGGTGTTGTTCTTTCCATGGGATCAGTGCAGGAGCCAGTACTGCCTTGGCTAGGAGAGGAGCCTGTGGGCACCCAGCTGGAACTCCATGATCAACATGGAAGAAAGGCGTCATCTCCTGCTCAGCTAGTATGGCCTTGGGACCACAGTACACCTGCATGGCCAGTTCAAGTAGGAGTGGCGGGTAGTCGAGCTTGAGCGCTTCCTCCTGCAGTCTGGCGAGATGGATGGTGTCGTAAAAGGTTGACATGTCCATCAACACAGTGATGCCGTGGTGCTTTCTGGCTTTGGTGACTTCTTGACGCAAGAGTCGCTCGAGTGCCACATGGAGTACATTTGCACCAGGTCTAGCTTTATCGTGATTCATGCTTGCCGGCAGCTGTTGTTGCCATCTGTCCAAGAGCGGCTTCCTTAGGCGGCACCACACACGCCAAAGGGTGGATGTGAGCGTTACGGGCCGCTCCAACTTCTGGTTCTTGGGTAGCATGACAACTAGATGTAGCTGCAACTGAGTTGGAAGCTGCATTGTGCTCCATGGTTTGATAGAGCTGCAGCAAAGGTGTCAATGCCAGTGGTGGGATGCTTTTCAGCATTTGTCTTGAGACCGCATCTGGGCCACTGGCTCGATCAGGGAGTGCTTTGAGAACTCTCTGGAGCATCCCTTGGGTCAGAGGCTCAAGGGTTTGGGCCTGCTGTTGTGCTACTTGTTGTAGGCTGGGTCGTGGACTCGGTGCATTGTCCTGTCTGATCTTCCAGACAGAGACCCTTTGGTCCATCCTTTGTGGCATTGGTGTCATTCTATATGGTCTCTCCCAGGCAAGTTCGCTGCTTTTCTTTCTCCTGAAGAGTCCTTTCAGGCCTTTTTGATATCCCTCTTGGAGCCATTGTCTGTACTGCAAAGTGGTTTCCTGGTGGGCCGCCAGTTGTGCCTCTTGAAGCTGATGTCCAATTGTTTGGAGGAGCAATTCAGCCGCATGAGGATCTCTGTATCGGTGCCAATGATGACACGTGTCGAGAAACTGACCCCATGTAGGAGCCCCAACCCAGTGCCGATGTGCATGGCGTATCCTCTGCATGAAACCCTTGGCTCGGCCGGTGCAGGTAGTCACTGGTTGTTGCAGTGCAAGATGGAGGACTGCTCTGAGTTGGTCCCAAAATGCTGGCGGCCCTTTTCGCCAGGCGTGGGCCTTGGGTTGGGGCACCAAGGGTTTGGTGACTGCCTGTAGTTGGTAACCCCTTCCCTTGGCCGCCCACGGGTTCTCCTGGAGGAGGTATTGCTCCGTTTTGGACAGCCAGTCTGCCCAAGCTTGTGCTGCTTGATTTGGTGGATTGCCATAAAGTTCAACCACATGGGCCTGTGATTGATATGTTGTCCAAGGTCTGAAGTCAATGTCCGGGACCTTTGGCAAAGGTGGGAAGTATGGCATCTGTCGATATTCCTTTGTTGCAGCTTCGATGTCAAACTGGAGCTTTAGTAGTGCATGTGGTCTCCACGGAATCGCCCATTCAGTGAGGATGGACGTAGTACCCGCAAGGGTGTTGTGGAGGATGGCATAGTCAATGGTGTTGCCGGAGAGCACACTGTGATCTGGTGCCAGAATCCCAAACTGAAATTTTTGAAGATAGGACAGTGCTGGCCAGGGAGCTTGGCTGATTCTGCCAATCACCTATGACGACATAGGGATGGGTGGTATGTGTGAGCAGAGCCAGAAGCTTGGCCAGGATTGCTGCGTTCGTCTCACTCTGAAAGGTTTCTCCAGTTCGAAGGTACAAACCAAT